GTTCCCAGCACCTCACTGTCAGAGCAGGCAAGGGACAGACAGATGTCTTCAGAGTTTGCAATGCCGTGCGCTGTGTTGCTGCTCTCCGGAAGACAGAAGCACAGAGCCCTTCTGTGGTCACTGGGAGCTTCAGACAGGGAGACTAAACCCCACCCTGGCTCACACTTACAAGGACTTCACGGTTCCAAATGGTCACAAAACTCTTCAGGTGTAAACCTGGACAGTACTATGCGGGCAAATAAAGATGGGTTCTGATTTTCCTAAGACTATGCCTTGCCAGCCATGTAAGTACTTACAGACCTGCTTTGGAGGCTGCAAGGGCAAGGGGGAGTTACAAGGAACAGGCTAAAGGTTGTTTAATTCTGTGCTTTACTGACGACCCCCAATACATCTGTACATTAGGATCGCTTAAAGTGAGTCTAAAAATTCATGTGTATGTGTAACGGCGGACCACCCGAGGTTAACATCTGGCCTCCACATGCACTTACATGTGCACATGCACCTGCTCACACACATCTGTACACACAATTCAGAGTCAAATCCTAGCTAGGAACCCACAGAATCAAAACCCCGGAAGCTGGTTTACAGCAGAGTTCTGGAGTCCACTGACAATCTGCTCAAAACTCAACTGAGGACCAGGAGTCAGTAGCTCCATCCGCAGAAGATTCGTGCCCAGTGACGCAAGAAAATGGCCACAGTGTGAACACCAGTTACCGCAGCACTTGGGAGGAGGTGGCAGAAAGACCAGAAAGTCAAGGTCGTCTTCAGGCATTTACTGGCCAACAAGGAGATCTGTTTAGGCCAAGCAAAAGCACTAATAGGTATTGGTTGCCTCTGCCTTCAGGTACAATATAAGGTTCAATATAGGTACACTGCAGTTAAACTCAGAAGCATTTATTCAATTAAATTCCATGTGCACGATGAGAAACACAATCTAAGTTATACTTCTTACATACCTACATTTCAGTGTATCCCAAAACTATGTCCTGGGGAGGAGGTTGCGAGAAAAATGGCTCAGCAGGTTAGAGCACTTTCTCTTCTCCCGGGACCTGAGTTTGGTGCCCAGCACCCACAATATGCGGTAAAAATTGTACATTTTTTTCTTTCTTTTCTTGTTTTTTTTGAGACAGGGTTTCTCTATAGTCTTGGAGCCAGTCCAGCTCTTGTAGACCAGGCTGGCCTCGAACTCACACAGATCCGCCTGCCTCTGCCTCCCAAGTGCTGTGATTAAAGGCGTGCGCCACCACAGCCCGGCAAGATTGTACATTTTTATATACCCTTACGGTGTCGCTCCTTCCACATTTGAGGACAGTAAGCTATTATGACCAGATTTAGGAACATAAAAGCATATAAATCCATGCTGTGAAAACACTCTGGGCGCACATCTCCCTGCTCAATGTTGAGTGTAGACAAATCCAGGAGCCCTAACTGTAGGAGCAACAGGCACAGGGCACAGCTATCACTATGACTACAAAGGCTGGGCCAGGTCTAGCTGTCCTGAAACTCGCTCTGTAGCTCACAGACACCTGCCTGCCTCCCGAGTGCTGGGATTAATGGTGTACTCAAACCCCATGATTTTACTAGCGAAATACAGTTAATCTGAGTGCAGAGGCACACACCCACAAACAGCAGACAAGAGAGGCAGATAAGCAGCAGAATGCCTTAATTCAAAGCCAGGTTAATGTACCCTGGAGCTCCAGTTAGTTACCCAGGGCCACACAGGGAGATCCTGCATGATACACCATCCTCCCCCCCTCCCCCCCCAAATTAGTCGAGAAGACATACTACGTTCCTGGAATCGTACCACTCTCTCTTTCTCCCAAACCCGCAAGAAAGGACAAATGGCTGAAGCCACACAATGCTAACACCCATCAACTGTGGGGAAAGAACAGCGAGCCAAATGCTCTATAAAAATAAAACTGGATGACATCTTGCATTCACCTGCTACCCCACATATATTTCTGCCTTCCTACTCTTGACGTGGGTGATCTTGTGATACGGCTTTGTTAGCTTTGAGCCATCACGTGACGAAAACATAACTTTCTTCTTATAGGTGAGCGAACAGGAGCACAGAAAGATTAAATGCCTTTGTGCAGGTCACTGAACTTGACCACAGCTGCCAGAACCAGAACTGTCAGATATTGGGGTCTACAGGCACGGCCACCATCACACTCTAAAACCCGGTTTCCCACTCTGTTCCCCAGCACGAACGGAGCATGCATGGCCAGCAGTCAGGTCCTATCTAGATTAAGATGTAGCATCTTTCCCACATCCCTCACAGTGGGGCCAAGATTTTCCTGACAGCCATGACTGCCACCAACTTCTTGGCAGCTCTGTCAAGCAGGAACCATTGCTTCCTTCCTCCCCGGGATACTGCACACCGGGTCCTCATTTCAGTCCAACAGGTATCGATTCAGAACCATGCAGGTGAATGTTTGCTGTATAATCAAATCAGAGAACACGCTTCCTCTAGAGGTGACAGAGCGCACTTTGCAGGGTAGTCATGTGAGAGCAGCGACAAAAAGCGGCATTCACGTCAGTTCCTCATCCTCTGGGCTTTCCAACCCCCAAATTCTGAGCCCACTGCCAAGTCCACCTGACAGGTCGCTAAACAGATCAATGCTGTACCGTGTAACTGGACCCACCAGTCTACATTCACTCAGGCACCGGGAGTCTGTGGGGTGCTTCTCAGAAAACGGTAACAGCGGAGAGGACATGGAAAAATCACAGTTCCCAGAGGGAACACTAGCGGATGACAAGGTCAGCCGAGTTGCTGCGAAGGGCTGTTTGTCAGGGTCGCTGTCGTTAAAGGGAGCTATATAAAGAAAAAGCAAACTAACTTTAATTTTCTCAAGAAAACGCTACTCTGATTTTTCAAAAATATATTTTAAAAAATAGTTCTTTGGTTGATTTGAAAAGACAGAGCTATTGGGGGGGGCAGACCCCCTATGTAGCTTAGGCTAGCCTCAAACTTGTGGCCACTCTCCTGCCTCATCTCACCCCCGCATCCCTGACCCTGTGCTGGAATTACAGGTTTGATTACCACATCCAGCTTCAAGTTTGTTTTGCCAGGAGCAGTCCCAGCAGTTCTGATGGAGCCGTGGGGACTATCTATCTGACCACTGCAGAGTTCTGATGGAGCCGTGGGGACTATCTATCTATCTGACCACTGCAGAGTTCTGATAGAGCCATGGGGACTGACTGACTATCTATCTATCTATCTATCTATCTATCTATCTATCTATCTATCTATCTATCTGACCGCTGCAGAGTTCTGATGGAGCCGTGGGGACTGTCTGTCTGTCTGTCTGTCTATCTATCTATCTATCTATCAATCATCTATCTATCTATCATCTGTCTGTCTGTCTGTCTATCTATCTATCTATCTATCTATCTATCTATCTATCTGACGGCTGCAGAGCTCTGTTCTATTGGAATGGAGAGGAAATGAGCAGTGCGGCCCGAGAGCCAAGATCTGCTGACACGCGCTCCTGTAACTTCAGGGCCCTGGGGATGGCTAGTGTGCACCCCCCTCTGCAGCGTCCTGCCCACCTCGGTGAGCAGGCTGTCTACCTGGTCCCTGGCTACCTGGTTTACAGGTTTGAGTTCTAAGAAAAGCAGACAGCATTGAGAGGGAAGGCTGGAGCTTGGTTGGTTTGTCACTAGGGTTTGGATATGTCCAGACACAAAGATGGATGGAAATGTTTCCAGAATTCGGAGAGCAAAATCCAAAGTTTCAACTTACTCATCCACTTACTTTAATACTAAATAAGTATGTGTGTCACAAAGACCGGGTCTAAACGGGTCAGGATGAAATACGCGAGAGATGTCCTTATAGCCTCCCTTGTCCTGCAACTATTCCAAGAAGGTGCAGAGTTCTATTTAGATTTCCTTCCTCAACCTAGGACATAAAAAAGCAACATAATTTTTCTCCCTGTTAAGTCTTTCCTTTCTGGCTCTGTAAAAAACCTTTGTTCTTGGCAGAGGCAGGGGTGAACTGTTATCTACGGTTCCCATGGCCAGCCCCAGCTTTCTTGAGCCCGCTGGGCTCCAGAGAATTAGGTTCCTGGAGGATCTGACTGAATCTGACGTGCACACGACACCGGGCAAGCAGGGAGCCCACCTGACTTTTAACTACACCGAGGAGGGCGCTGCCGGGGAAGCAGGCAGGAGGATCAGAACTGTGTGCTTTGGAAAGACCGAGAACCATGAGACAGAATGTTCCAGAAAACTGTGCATAACCTGGACTTCTCCGAGTACCCTGCCATATTAACTCACACATAACCATGTAACGAAAGGAAAAACTGAGGTTCACCTCATGCCTCACTTCTGGGGCTGACTGAGCTTAAGAAAGAAAGTGAAGCCAGCCTTTTCGAGTTTTTTACTCCAAGGTGCAAGTCATGATCTGCACAGCTAAGGGCGTTAAGTTCGTTCATGTGGGGTAAAAATCTTGCTCAACAATTAGCCAGTGTCCTTACATAAACAATTCAAGACAGGAAACCTAATTTCTCTAAAACTTCACCAGTCTCTTAATGCTAAGCTCTGAGTGCTCCCATCCACAAATTCCCCGTGAGCCTGTGCATCTGCTCCCCCGCAGTTCTCCAAACATGACAGCTTGCCCCCGAACATCTGCTTCTTCTACTTTTAATATTTTTCTGAAGCCAAAGAACTAATGTCCTTCAGCAGAGTAAAGCGAACACCAAGAGCCAGCTGCTCTTCCCAAGGATGGGAGCAGGGAAGAAGACACTTGCGGTGGCCAATGGCATGTCTGGAAGTGCAGTTCTGATCAAGCTGAGCCTTTTTTTTTTCTTCTTCAAATGATGGCCAATCACTAACAAGAGTGCCGCCCTCAGAATTTAGGGAGGAAGAACGAGCTATTTCATCACCAAAATGGAAAACGAGAAGCAGCTAGCTTGGCATCCCACAAGTCTTGTCTCACAAGCAGCGCATAATAATTCTTTGCTGGTGTTGTTTCCAAAATGAAAAGCAGGTCAACTTACATGGCTCTCTGGCAATGAACTGAGGTACAGTGTTGGGCAATGGAGTACTGGGGTTCGGAGTCCCTACGAGTTTGTTCTTGGCCATCTTCGTGTTTGCCTTAGCAAACTCTAGTCGTAGTGTTTGCGGGATTTCAGGATCGAAGCGGATGCCCTTTGGGAAAAAGAACAAATGGAAGATGTTAACCAGAATGGTGACAAAATCAACACACATGTAAACTTTGGCCGATGTCACAGGCTCAAGCAAGGGCTCTCGTTCTCAGTATTCACACAGAACATGCAAAACCTACACTACAGCGTGGCCAGAAGGCCAGGCAAATGCGGCTCGCGCCACCACAATCTTCAGTTAGGTGGATGTGCAAGCATCCCTGTTCTTCCAGAACATTGTCTAGTCTGCCTTTTAAAATGCAGACCAGCAAATTCATAACACAGCTTAAAAACTTTGACTGGCGGCTACTGAGGCTGGAAAACATGACCGATCCAGAGAGAGACATGCTGGGCTGCGCTGGTTTGACACCTGAAATCCCGAGCAGGCCGCACTCTGAATGGCATTATAAACAATGAAATTCTTCAGGGCTTTTACTGTCGGCTACCTATAAATAAAGAAAAAGAACTCTGTCTCTGATTTGGTTTTACAAAGGTAATATAAGTCCCTGTATACTCAGAACACAGAAATTAAACAGCTGCAATATTTTAAATGTAACTATTTTAATTTAATTCCAGTCATTGCATGAATTTGCTAGGCTCAAAGTGGAGAGATCCTGACTTCTTTTATGGTTGGCTTACAGGGTACAAGGAAACAAAAGATTCCACAGGCCTGAGAGAAAAGTAGCTTTTAGTCCCTTAGACCTTTAAAAAAGCAAAACAAAACCAAACAACCAAAACAGCTGGAGCCTGGTGGCACTCCCCTGAATTCCGAACCTGGAAGGGAGGGACACTTGGCAGGCAAAGGCAGGTAATCTCTGAGCTCAAGGCCAGTGAGCTATACCTGGAAACCCTGTCCTGGGAAAACAAAACAAAACAAAAACCAACAAAAACCACCTAAACAGATTCCAGGCAACCTAAACTACGAGATTTACATAAAGTAGATTTTGGGACTTTCTCCCTCAAGAATGTCTCCATCACCAAGCAGAGCTGGGAGCCTAATGAAAGCCATTCCATGCCAGGAATTCTAGACATTACCATCAAAAAGGCACTCCGGATTGGACTCCACGTTTGTCTCAGTCCTGAAAGTGGGGTGTGCTAAGAACACGAGCTTTTCATTTATGTGGGCCCGATGGTCTCTATATCCCTTTCTTTAAAAAAGAACCCTCTCTTTTGAGAACTCCATGAGCACTGTAGGCACAGCATCTCTCCCGCCTCTTTCCACCTTCCCTCACTGGAAGAAAAGTTAGGGTTGTTTCCACAAGTCATCAGAATGTCTGGAGACCAGAATGAACGACTCTGAACTTCACAGGTTCGGTTCCAAAGACATAAGGAAAAACCTGATAATAACAGCAACAGGGAGTGGTCAGCTGCGGTCAAACAACAGCGTCTCAATCCAGAGACTGTCGTGAGTGTGAAGAACTTATTCCTGACTTGATTATTATGGGGGAAGAAAACCATTAAGGCTTAAAAAACACAGCAAGGGGTGGGGAGCATTGCATTTATATAACCAAGTCGAACCAACCAGAGTCAAAAAGAGAAGTTCTGTGAAATAAAACAGAAACACGGACCAAAGCTAACGTTGGGATCCTTAATCGGTAAACCTCTGTATTGTATTACCAGAGCACACACGAGGAAACAGTCTTAAGCAGCATTTGCTTCTGTTCCTCTAACGGACATCGAGACACACTTTATCCTCTGTCAAACCTATAAGCACTGGTTCACATCAATAATTTCAGCACTTGGGAAGAAGCTGAGGCTAAAGGATTATGGGCCTTTCAAGGATAGCCTGGGCTACAGAGTGAGACAAACCCTATCTTTAAGGAAAACAAATGGTAGAATTACCCTCACATCGAATTCCATATTCCCAGATACGGACTAAAGAAGTGTCTTTGCAGAGAGGCAACTGTGTTCCCCTGGAAAGCCCTGCACATCCGCACCAAAGCATGGCAGACATGCAACAGTCGCAGCAGACACTTCAAGAGCTCTTGCAAACACCACTCCCCACCAACTTTCTTCGGTAGCATCTTTTTTAAGCCTGAGCCTGCAGCAACCTGAGACCTAGTAAGAAAAGCGTCCCAGGTCCTGTCAGTAGCCCCTGGAGCATTTAGCCCTAGACCACAGGGCTCACTTCCTGGAGTCTAGAATCCACCAAAGCCATCACTGTGCTCACCCCTTGTACAGCCAATCTAAAACATACTGGAGCGAGTCCCCCTCCTCCCTGCCCCCTTCTCATACCCTTTCTCTTGTCTGAGTTAAAATAACATCAACATCATGTTCCAAATCAAAGTTCCAGCATCTTATTAACAAAAACAAAACAAAACAGAAAAGCTCAGAAGTTAAAATGACCTAATTTGTTTGGCAGCTTATTGGGAGGCCAGAGGCTCAGAATACAAGTCGCATTCCGCCAGCATCTTTAGCAGCAATACCATATTTGGTAATCAATATCCTGCCCCACTAGGTTTCTATCCATAGGGATTAGCCAAGTCCCAAACATTTTAAATGGTACAGGATGATGAGCTGGGGGAGGGAGAACAAGCAAGGGAAAGGGAAGGAAAGAAAGGAGAGAGAGAACATGCCATGGGAGGAAATACCTTGTGCTTTTAATTAAAACCTAGTAAGATCCCTCTCTGGCGACAGAAACTGTTCTTTACAAACCACTCATTCCAGCTGCTACAGGGCTGCGCAGGCCAGTCTCCAGCAATCCAGATTAGGTACGACCTGGAGGCTCAACAGGGCAGCCTGTGTGCAAAGAGACAACGCCACAGACAACGGTGGATCCTTGGCAGTCTACTGTGCGTCAGAGAACGCGAGGGCTAAGTATGGTGAAAGAGCAAAGGGCCAAAGGTCACCAGGTAGCAGTGAACCACAGATGGCACAGGGAGTGGGGGGCTCTGCAGTCCATGTGGGGCTGGGGTCCCCACACAGTAGTGCTGTCAAGACCAAGTGGGGAGTGGGGAGCTTGCTTTGTTTGCAGTGCTGGGCCACTGTGTTTTTGGATGCAGCATTTCTGACACAGGACTGGAAACTGACGTATCCAAGACTGTTGAGTAATGTTGTGGCCACCTATGCAGTGATCACATGACTCATAGCGGCCAGAGGTCTTTTTACTGTAAGAAAGATGAGCTCCGCAGGGTGATGGTGGCGCACGCCTTTAATCACAGCACCCGGGAGGCAGAGGCAGGCGGATCTCTGTGAGTTCGAGACCAGCCTGGTCTACAGAGCTAGTGCCAGCACAGGCTCCAAAGCCACAGAGAAACCCTGTCTCGAAAAACCAAAAAGAAGGAAAAAAAAAAAAAGAAAGAAAGAAAAAGATGAGCTCCTTGAGAATCCACAACAGGATCTCAGAGTCCAGACAGGAAGTCATCAGGGCAGCTGGTTGAGAAAGCAGCCCAACTGGTCCTTCTCTAGACCAGGCACTGGGGGACCAATGTCTGTGCACTGTGCCCTTGCTTCTCTGACCACAGCTGATCACTTAAGAGATAGATGCTTCCCCAAGTGACCGAACCATCTTTCTCTCTTGGGATTGAAACCCTGAAGACACAAAAACGAAGGTGGCCAGCAGTCCCCTTGCCTCTCGTGGAGAGCAGCTGTCCATTTGGGGTTCTTTGTAGCATGCGAATGCCTGGGAGAGGGGTTAACCAGTGCAGTTTTTAAACAGAGACCTGTGTCTAACAGTCTGCGCAAGCTGCACAGTGAGCATGCCTATCGGTTCTCAGCAGGGAGTTTAGGGGTAGTAGAATCATTTACAGAGTGAGAGGGAGGGGAGGGGGGAGAGAGGGAGGGGAGGGGGGAGGGAGGGAGGGGAGGGGGGAGAGAGGGAGGGGAGAAACCTTTAAAGGAGGCAGTCGTGGCACACATACAGACGCCTGTGGGTTGGTTATATTAAGCTCCTGTTGTTAAGAAAAGGGTGAGAGAGACAAGCACAGACCGGGTTATTTGAATCCTTACATACTTGAATTTAAAGCTATTAATAATTGACAAAACCCAACATAGTCATTTCCAGAAGAGAGAAAGATGAGGCTGGAGTGATGGTCATGAATCACATGATCAGTCAGACTGCTGGCCGCAAATTCTGCCAACCTGAGTCGGGTCCCAAACACTCATGGCGGAGAGAGGTTTTCTCCTCTACTTCCATGAGCTGTCCTCCAACCTCCACGGACGTACATGCAGTGGCAAGAACAAAATAAATAAAACAAATCCTTTTTTAAAAAAGAGCACGTCTGAAGCTGGCATTTGAAGGGTTCCTCCTTACAGGGCGGGGGTGGCGCACACCTTTAGTCCCAGTACTTGGGAGGCAGACAGACTTGAGTTGGAGGCCAGCCTGGTCTACAGAGGGAATTCTAGGACAGCCAAGGCCACACAGAGAAATCCTGCCTGGGGTGTGTGTGTGTGTGCGCGTGCGCACACGCATGTGCGCTCCTTATGAAGGGCTACATTGCCCAGAGCAGGGCATACAACACTCAGCTGGCATTTTCTGTTTACCTTAAAAAATTATGCTGGGCCAGTGAGATGGATAAAGCAGATAAAGGTGTTTGCCATGTGGTGACCTAAGGTCACATCTCTGGAACCGCTGTGAAAAGGGGAATCAAATCAACCCCACAACTTTGTTCACTGGCTGTCACGTGTCATGGCCTGCCTATCTTTTAAAAGTTTCTGAGAAATTACTCCCAATTTAGAGAATGGGGACGTAGCACGAGAAATTCCTGTTACCACACACAAGTCCCTGAGATGCTGACATATGCCCAAACGTACTTTATCTTTCTGCTCCTCTTCTGCCTCTTTCCATAGCTTTTACCACTATTTAAGTCTTATGACTTAACTTTACTGCAGCTTGACTTCCTAAAAATAAGGGCCATTCTGTGTTTCCTGACCCAGGACCTCTCCAAGAATCATACAGGGCATCTACCTGTCACCTGCTCCGTCGCCTTGACATTTAATACCAACTTGTTTTATAAACTGTTTCTCATTGAAGTATGTGTGCGCGTGCGTGCACACACACACGTGTGT